ATCATTGCCTTTTCAAGCTCACAATTTGTAAAGTAAATTGGCTTCTGGACTGCATTGGCGGCTGTAATATAATACCGGAGTTAAAGATACACTGCGGCTAACCAAAGCGCACAAATCTCGCCTTGACATGTAATAGCTTTTAAGCACAGAGAGGCACATAGGAGCGCATCTGTGGCACTGTGTGGATAGATGGAGGCTATCAGTGTGGGCTGGCTGTAGGTCGGTGGGTATGGGATGGATAGGGCCTCTGAGATTGGATCCATCTGTCCTGGAGAGGGGTGCAGGGTCACATCCCCACTATTACCTCTCTGTCCAATGATGCTTTATTCACCTGAATGTAGGAGGAGGTGGAAAGGAGGAGGAGGAAGAAGAGGAGAAGGGGAGATGGATGGGCCTAATCTGAGCAACAGGCAGAGGACAGAAGACTGAGATGGAATGATTGGGTTAGCGGAGAGTATATAGCGGTGAGTGAATCATATAGGACAGACACAAGTACTTTTTGAATACTTTTTGAAATGGTGGACAAGAAATGATACTTACATAGTTGGCAAATGTATGATGTTATAAAAAGTAAAGCCTTCTATTCACAAAATCTGACTCCTTTTTTACATAAAGTATCATTTAAACAACTTTTTTGATTCATTTAAGGCTTGTGACCCAAGAGTAAGCTTGCTTATTCCCTTTTGGATCTAGGCTGATTGCGCAGATGTTCTTTTCTTTGACTTATGATGATCACAAGAGATGGTCCAGCACTATCTCGTCCCCACAGATGTTATTGCTTTGCATAGGATATTTCACAGTATGGCATTTTACTTTTCTATCACCAGGTTTTAGACTTGAACAACAATATAATTCATTCAAAATAAGTAGCAAAAATAGCAAGAGACTGGTATCAAATGAAGCATATATATATATATATATATATATATATATATATATATATATATATATATATATATATATATATATATACCTGTAAATGTACAAGTAAAAATTAAAATATAGAAATATAGTAATACAAAATATATATCGGCTATACACAAGACTTGAGTAAGGAAAAACAAGGTCATTTCTAGTAATAGAAACACCTGTAATTGAATGAACGTTCCAGGACAAGCTATAAAATGTCCCAGGAGACAACCAGGAGGTGAACTTCATGTGAAAAGTTACTGAATGCACCTTTAAGTAATCAGTAATCATCAAACACATTGTTTCCCAAAGACTGGGTTGTGACCCTCAGGTGGGTCGCAAGAGACTGTTTTGGGGTCGCCTTGTCACGATCTGCATGTCGTCTGCAATATACAGTTGTATACATGGATCAGTGACCTCATCGTCATTCTGGATAAGCACTTTGTCAGAATATCCTGTCCTCAGTAGAGCAAGTATTTCTATGCTTATTCCTTTCACTAGTACATATATGTGTGAATTGGTATTTTCTGTGTTCACAAAACTGAAGACAAAGCACAGAAACAAATTGAATGCTGCTCCTGACCTGCTGCTGCGCTCTCCTCCTGAACCCCGGACTGGAACTCGCTGCAAAAACACAGACAGGTCCACCTATCTCATTAGAAATGTTGAAATCTTAAGACATGTTTTGTATAATTTCTAATCTTTTGTAATTATTTTATTAACTATTTTGTTCCAGTATTACTGGTTCAGTTGAATGTTGAAAAGAAAAAGAAATGGGCTACATTTACTGTCCAAATAGGCGACTTCCGGATACTTTTTATTGCTGGTTCAATGACTGTTTTTCATTGTTTAAAACTTGAGTAATACTAATTGTTCAGAGAGACACAATCACTCAGTCAACAATAAAATATCCTCATTGATGTTCAATGATGGTTAAATCCACCTTTGTTTTGTGATTTACGAATAATGTCTGTTAGCTTGGGTCGTGAAGGTTTGTGACTTCTAAAATATGGCTCCCCAGAAAAAAGTTTGGGAAACAGTGATATAAAATTATCTAAAAAAAGCATTTTACTTTTGTCTAAACTTGAACACATGAGGCAAAGACTCACATTCAGGTCAAAAGAGATTAGAGGACAGGACAAAAAGATCATGATAGAAAACTAATGGTGAGTATATGGCCCACTGAAGGACAATCACCGTCTATCAAGAAGTCAAATTACCTGTCCCTCCGCTGTGCCCCTGTTCGCCCGCACAAGTAGATCATGGGCAGGAGTGGGCTGACCCGCTAAGAAACACTGATTGAATCTTCAGTGGGATTAACAGGGATTTAGCCCGGTGTAATGATATCTGAATGAGTTTATTAGCTATCAGATGACACGCAGCTATTTGACCTCTACAAGGCACACAGTGAGGATGCAATGAGAGTGGAGGGAAAGGGGGACAAAAGAGACAAAGACAAAAGCTGTGGAAAATATGAGAAAACACAGCCTGAAGACCTTTTGGACTCCACTTTGTTTTTAAACAAACTTCACTAGAATCATCTGGATCATTTCAGCCCTGGAATTATAAATATCTACTGAACAAAAGGTAAAAACTACAGCTTTCATGACATTATAGGGTAAACTGAGCATTTTGAGTTTTGGAGACAAATAAAAAGGGCACTGAGACATGTGTAAATGAAACAAAACACAACTCCTGGTATGTTTTTGAGGAGGTAACAGCATTATAACATGGCTTAAAGCTCACAAGAGTCAATTCTGCATAATAAAGGACATTTAATTCAGCCTTTCTTTGTGTTTAATTAAGGTGAAGGTGTAGTTATTATAAAGTGAAGTCATTTTATTTAGAGAGTACAAACAAAAGGTGCAGTAAAATATGGACTAAATCTCTCTATGGCTGCTTTGTGGAGGTTATGTGAGGTCTGGAGACAGTAATTTTCTCAGCAGTGTTTTTATTGTCCTTCACTGGCAATATGTTGGACACAATAATATAGTGCGCACCAGTGGAGTCGGTGTGTTTGGTGTTAGTGGAGGAGTAAATGACTGCACTCCTCGTCCTGTGTGAATAGGTCAAAAGCATAAATATGAAAGTTTCCCTGCTGGCTCAGCGGGCTGCAGCCGCGCTATCGATCAGCCCACCACAGCTGGGAGCACAGTCCATTACTTTGACTCGACATGTGAAGTCACTGCTCATGAAATTTTGTCATAGATTTTAAAAATGTAAGGGCTGTCGGATCAGCACTGTAACATGATTTCTGCAGTGCAACCACCGGCTCTCAGCAGCAGCTTGGTGGAAAAGTATTAAAAATTAAGATTTGTTTCTGTTCTAAATTGCTATACGAATTGGATAAATGATGGGTCTGGAAGTATCATAAACTACATCCACTCTATCCGTCTCCAGTGAAATATGATTCTAGTGAAAACCCAAGGAGACTGAAATGAGAGAAATGCCCAGTGATTATGTCTTTGGCGTGGGGAGTGGAAACTTGTCAGATATAATAGAAAAAACAACATGTAGCCTATTTTAGATCTGTGAAAACCTGATCCAGGCAAGATGACACTGTATAGAAAGACAAGCCATAATAACAGGCAGTTTACTAATGCGTTTACTAATGCGTACTAATGCGTCCACATCCTGCACTGTACATAGCTGTTTCAACACATACAATGGATGGGTCAAATCCACAGGACAAATTCCCCCAGGGACAGTAAGTGATATCTTTGCTCCTAAAAGACAACCTGATCACAGAGGCTTTTGAACATGTGATCATCCTGAATGTTTTTACTGTGTTAGATATATGATGTAATGTAGCGTAATGTAGCATATTCAATCAGATATTCACAAATGCATTGAGTTACATAAACATTTTATAAACATTTTATTAGTTGAAGCAGTTGATGTAACCATACAAGACTTGACTTTCTACTCACATTACTATAGTGCACTCAAGTGGCAGCATGATGTTACTACAGAAGAGAAAGATGCCAAAATGTATTGAGGTTCAACTTATCTACAACCTGAACATATTTAAATGTTGGTTTGGTTTACTTTTAGGAAAAATGTATGAATGTATAAATTGTTTTGCATTAGTGGCGGGCCCAGTTGTGTCCATGTTTCTAGAGAAATTTAGGTCGCAAAACAGGAAGGACTGTTTTCTATTTTTCATTTCTTTCTCATCCTATTTATTTATTTATTTTTGCAATTTTAAGTCAAATTTGACACTTACATTTAATACCATTCCTTGGAACATTGTAAGCAAAGCAATATCTCCATTGAGACAAGCAGCTAGCGGACCCTCTACCAGAAATGTTACATAGTGCACCTTTAAAATGAAATATTATTCATTTATTTTAGTTGACTATTTATATTCTGTATTAATGTTTATATACATTTACCTTGCTGGCCTTGCAGATTATGTCATCTATGGGTGCACACAGAGCCTCTACTGCTTTATTGGGTCGGGTGCTTGGGCAGCGGAACGCCTTGGCACTGCTCATTAATCAAGACGCTGAGGTTGATGCCACAGCAAGATGGGAAACGCTGCTCTGCCTCCCCAGATGAACTATAGTGCCTCCATCAGCTTCACTATGTCCACAGCTCAGGAGTAAGTGAGACTGATCACATGTCTGTGTCTGCGCCGCTTAAGTCAAATGAAAATCTGTTTAACTGGATTTAAATTTGTGAAGGTAATGATGCCCGGTTTGTACAATCGGGTTGTGCATGTTGTAAATGACCCTGTGAAAGTATTTAGGTGAGGAAAATCCATCAGTATGCATTTACAGCTGCACTGTGGAACTTTTCATGTTACTGCTTTACCTGGAATGTTGCACAATATGGCATTAAACTTATATCTCCATGGAGACAAGCAAATTACATGACCAGACCAGGTTATAGATCAAATCTGTGAAAAATGAGCCCACTTGCAGTAGAATACATTGCTTTCAAGATTTTTCCCAATAAAACACATGTAGTTGAATAAATGCAACATATACACCAACATATTGTGGAGTGTAATGGACAAAGCAGTAACATCTCTATGAAAACAAACAGGTAGTAGGACCCACTGACAGAAAAGTGAAAAAGATCTATGTTGGTTCAGGAGTATTTTAATTTTATTATAAATAAAAGCAAAAGAAGAAAAACATCAGTCATGAATGAGAGAAAAATGTCTTCAAATGATGTGGAAGATTGTGAATTTCCATGCTGGGCCAGGATTGCATTGTAATAACAATTCTGGTATTTAAAGTCTTAAAAGTCTGTGTCTTTCTGAGCTGTCAGGGTACAATGCAGGTTGCTTTTCTGAGAGTGAGGTAACCTGTCACAACATCTGAAGGCAGCAGGCGAATGTAGGAGAACTCTTCTGATGAGGTGAAGCGTAACTTTGTTTGGGGGTCTGTGTAGTTGGCCTGAAAAAAAAAAAGTAAAATGCATTATTTGTTTGTTTCCAAATACATTTTTTATAGAAAAAATGTGTTTTACTTACAGGGAGTCCTGAGATGTCCGAGTATTTCTTAGCAGGTTTTAGGGAGGGTGGGGCATCTATGTTATAATCTATAAACAGAATGATATATATTTAGGCAACTTATAAATACTTAATACTACTACTTATAAATACATAACACATATAGCAAAAGTGAAAGTGGCACCACTCACAGTTGGGGTCATCGAGCTTCCAGGGTAGTGTCTTCTCCAAAGCTAAAATCTGTTTGAGATTCTTCCACGTCCTGTTCTTTTTGCCAGCTGCTGCTCCTCCAATGCCTGAATGCTGAAAGTTATAAATATATATTAAAAAAAGAATATTATACAAAGGTATATTAACAGATTATTAACATTTGTGTGATCTCACCATAAATGTAGGGTCTTTAAATGGTGGGGGCTTTGCTGTGGACTCTGTAAGTGCACCTGAAGCATCTAAAAACCCATCAGCGACTGTCTCCACCGCTGCTACCTAGCGAAAGTACACAGTATAAACAAATCTTATATGTTTGTAGACTTGGTGGATATTTTTTTCTTTTCGAGCCGTTTTTACCTGTGCTTGTGCAGTTGATGCTGTGATCGGAGTCGTTTTCTTTTTCTTATTGCTGCTGCTGTTGCTGTTTTGTTGAGCTCCAGTCACAGCCGTAGATCCAGGGCGTTTTTTCGGACGCGGAGTCGAGATACTGGCTGCCGCAGATGGTCCTTTGATTGTTATCGTGGCCTGGGAAGCCATACCGAGGTTAAAGAATCAGTAAAGTCTCTTTATATGTCATGAACATGGACATGAATTGAGCTTTCGGGAATGTAAACAAAGTTCTCTAACCCGGAAGTGAACTGGTAAAACTTCCGCTTGCGTATTAGTGAGGCTATTTTACTTGATCGATGTTATTTTTACATTCACCAAATTTTTTATTTATTTATGTATGTATGTATGTATGTATGTATTTTTTTATTTATTTTATTTTTTGTTTGTTAGTTTGTTTGTTTAACCCCAGTCAGAGGAGAATTTAAACAACTTCTTATCTAAGCACTAGATTCAGACTCAGCACATAATACTCCATAATCTCCATATAGCAGTCCATTTGTCTATAAACAGGCCTATCTAAATTGTAATTTTATACATTGGACAAAGGCTAAGATAGTCGTCCTCACATTCATTCTACGTTCAATTTCAAGTGCTTCATTGCCACAATTACTGTAATGATGTAACATATTCCTCATCATAATTGAATAAATCACTTGGACAAATTATAATGTAGTATTCCTCCGAGCAGTCAAATGTTGATTGTCCCAGATGATGCGAGCCAATCATGTATATGTATAGCCTAATGTGTATACTGTGGTCTGTGGTGCCAAATTGCAAATCATAGTGATGATCCACATTGCTCCACAGCTGTGTAGTTAGAATTTTAGGGCCAAGTATAAAAGACAGACATCGCAGTAATAATTCAAAGTGTATTCCATCTTCAGATCTCAGTCCGTCATAATCTCCAAAGCAAAGTAGGCGATAAGAAGAATGACATTTGCAAGTATGCAGCGGTCTCTATCTCTCTCACATAAGCTTTGACACAGCCACAGGAGCTTCCAACATTTCTATAAAACATTTCATTAATCTTTATTAGATTGGATTTTATTGTCATTGCACAAAATACAATGAAGAGCAAAACTGCTGCAGTAAAAATGAATAAATATAAACACATTCTCACATCCATACCAATAAAAACACATTAAATAAATAAATAAATAGATGATTGCACTGAGTCCCTTTAGGTCTTTTATCTGTGCTGTGCTCAGCATCCACTGAAGCTGTCTGTGTGGGTATGAGGGGAGTTTGAAGTCTTCCTGAGGAGAGAGTGCAGCAGAGTCTGTTCCCAGGGTGTGTTGAGAGGAGAGGAGGAGCTGGTGGTCAGGTCAGGGGCAGAAGGGCCCATCAGCCTCTCTTATTTATACAGCTAGAATCCAATGAGCACCTTTCTTGAGCATCTTGTTTACACAATACAAACAAAACAATAATAACATCAACTGCATAGCTTTATTTAAAACATAAAACAACAAGTGCAGGTGTGACTGTAAATATTTTTCACCAGAGTATTAAAATGCAGTAATGTAGTTGTTGTAGTTTGTATGTCCTTGAAATGAATTCCATTTGTGGAAGCAAAAATAACCAAAAAGCTTTTTCCCGATTTCAATTCTAGTGCAGCCAGTTTTTAACAGTATACAATCATAAGCTCTTGTATTATTAGTTCCTGCATCAAAGTTCAGCAAACAGTCTATCATGCAATCACTTATAAACACATTTTATACAGACTTGTTCTCTTCTGATGGATAGTGATCGTCCTACTTTTTCAGTGTATGATGGGTTTTTAATTCATCACCTGTTATGAAACGAAGGTCAGTGAAAGAGCAGATCTAAAGGTTTCAAAGTAGATGCTGAAGTCTGCATGCATATTATATCTCCGTAACCTAGTACAGAAAGGTTTCTTCAAAAATTTATTTTCAGTAATTCAATGGAATACGAGATATGTTTTGTTTTTTGTTTTTTGATTAAAACTTTTCAAGGTTTTTTTGCATTCAATGATAATTTATTATTTTGAGGACATTTTGGTTTCCATTCAAATCCTGCTACAATTTTAAAATTGCCCAGTCAGCAGAGGGAGCACTTGAATACAAAACATCACAATCTGCTTATAAATGTGTGAGGTTTTCTTTTAAATTGCAACTAATGGAATTAATAAAAATTGTTAAAAAAAAAAGAAAAAAAAAGCAGAGGGCCCAAAATATAGCCTTGGGACACTCCTTGCTTGAAGTTAAGGTAGTATTACTGGCCCGGGTTTTGCTTTGAAGAGAATTTTGGCGCATGTAGCATTGTCAAATCCAATGTTTTTCAGGTACTTCTAAAGAACTTTATGATCATTTTGAACCAAAACCTTTAGTTAAATCAATAGACAATGTCTGTCATCAAGAGCTGTGAAAATGTCATTTCAGACTTCTGTGGATCCAGTGACAGAATTATGCCCTTTTCTGAAATCTGATTGAAAAGACAAAATTGAGCATTTATTTAAGTTTGAACTTGAACTTGTTTTAACTTTTGTAAAACTTTTGCAAGACAAGGTCATTTAAATATTTGCTGGAAATGATTTGCATTTCTGTTGCCACACCTTTATATAAAGTTAAAACATGTGTTGTTTTCCATAACTCTGGTATAATCTTCCATTTGAATGAACAAATTAAACAAATGTAATAGGGGTTGAATTAAATATGGGGCAGCTATAACAGAAGTTTGGGATCAAGGTCATCAAGTCCTGTGGACTTGTTTGGGTCTATGGAGTGCATTCAAGACCTTCATGTAAATGAAAGGTCTTAAAGAGAAAATGTGACTGCTGTCAGAGGTTCCAAATCAGCACAATCAACATTTGTAGGATCACCATTATTATCCAGCACATCACATGCAGGGATAAAATACCTGTTAAAAGCATATTTCCTCTTTAGAATTTAGAATAGCTGAATCCAATAATCTATCAGTTGTGTATGTGTACATATAATGTATGAATACCAGGTTATGAGAGGGATCTCACAGTCCTCCAGAACTTTGCCAGATTTCTTTGATTCTATCAGCGCAGATACGAAGTAAGACATTTTTTCCCTTTCTTTTGATAAAGATCTATTACTTTTTTATGAAAAAATGTCAGATCCAAATCTGATTGTGTGTTGAGTTTTCCAGGCAGCATTTATTTCTCTGAACTTGCAGTTTCTGTGTTGAACGAAAGGACTGTTACAGTTTTTCATTCCAATTTTTCTTTTAGGTCCACATCGGTCAGCAGTTTCATTAACTGTATTAATTTTTTTTAAAAATGAAGCCCTTATCAAGGTCAGGGAATGCTGATGTTAACCCAATCTCACTGTAATACAGTTCAGAGATGAAGGCTTAACATAAAAATATATTCCAGGCATGAATCAGCACAGGACTAGAATTTAACCAGAGATATGATAATGAGCAATTTAATGATCAAGTAGTTATGTGGAGGTACAAACAGAAACAGCCTTGCTATAGAACAGCCCATTGTGCGTTGCTGCCCTCTTGTGTCCATAATGTATTGACACTTAAAACACAGATACTCAACCTAGTGCTGTTAAAAGATGCACTTGATAAAAAGGCCCTGTGTGACCTTTTTGATTGGTTGCCACCTGCTTGTCTCCAGCGATGTTATCGCTGACTTAAAATTCTCCTCATGATCATGGCATGAAACATATCTATCAAGTATTTATTTGGTTTTTATTGCTCAAAAATACCTTGAAAAACATTGTTACCGTGGGTCGTGTTCAGCACAGATCTGACCTGTAACCAAAACATTCACATCTTCATGGAGACAATGATGGCAGATACTTCTACTAGAAAAAAATGTAGTGCATCTTTAAACAAATTGCAATTAACCTTAACCAGGTTAAGAATACAGTGTAATTTATTGTCCCTGTAGAGAAAGATGTCCTCTGTACTCTCCCAATCCTTCAGTGCTGCTGGGGAAACTTGTCATGAGCAGTGGGTACAAGAAACAGGACCCGATCTACATATTGAAGCTTGGCCATTAAATTAGATGACTTTTCTTGTTTTGCATTTAATGTAGGACTAAATCTTGTTGGGCAAATCAATGCTAATCCCAGTGTAGGTGTGGCCTCCGGTTATTTACTGATCTATTAAAGCAGAATGTGATGCCCCAGGATGTACATGCAAATACACAAGCATTTTGGCATTAAACATCTTTGACAGAGGAGTTCTTTCAGCAGATCTATCCATCTCTGGGCCTATTGGGGTTAGTCTTGTCAGTTTGCAGACATGTCAACAGAAGATAAGGGTTTGTGCACATCTGAATTCAACGCTGGGCCTTCGGAGCCTCCACGGACACACCTTGTGAACTGCAGAGCTATCCAAACAGACAAAACCTTACCACTGCTCCTGTCTCACACTGAAAGACCATAGCCTACTGGGAATAGCTGATTCAGAGGAAGGACTTTCCAAATGTCTCATCCATTTTTCAGCACTTGCGCACGGCTGCTACTCCTGCATAAATAAAGGATGTCTAAAGAGTGAGATGGAGCTCAATGGCAAATGAATGTTTTATTGGTGAAGTTAAACAATGAACAGTAACTGGGGTTTAGGGACCACACAGTGTTTATCAGCAGTCAAGCAGTCAGACAACATCTATTTTTACCATGTCTACAAGGTGTAACAGAAAGAATGCACAACACACAAGAGGTGAATTCACAGCCGAAAGCAAAGTAATTGATTTATTGATTGCTATTGACTGATGAATGGAGGCATATATTTTTTTTAAATAAATGCCTCCTCATTAGAGACAAGGTAAATAATGACACTTAATGGAAGACTGTGACTGGACCTGCATTACAAAACGTACTTCTGGTCATTATTTAACCCGTAAGGGTGGACAAGAAATAATAAACACCAAGAAGTAACCAGTATCAGTGTTGTTGAAATGTGCTAATGTAAAAGGTCTGTGGAGAAACAGTTTCAGCAAATTCAGTTCAGCAAATTTAGGCCTATTTACAGAATACAGCCTATCCATTTAAAGTCCATTTGCAGATGAACATGACACCTGTTAATCTTCATGGACCTTGATGATTAAAGCCATACTTTGGAACTTATACAGGCAAAGAAATAATTGTGGAGATAACCATCCAGCAGCCCTGTGGATGCAGTAGGCTACAGAATCAGTTTTCTCAAGCCCTAGTGTGAGCAATAAAACACCTATTATTTTAAATGATGGCTTTATTATCTTACATTCTAACTTGATTACACAGTGGACTTTAAAATGGAAATGTTAAAAAGTAAAAATCTGTTGGAGTAGGCCTATGTTATATTTAGGTTATACAATTGTAATTACAAATATTAACCAAATGTTTTGTGTTAATAGGACACTTATTGCCCATGGTGCCTCGTTGTCCTGTTGTCCTAACTTCTGAACGATTTTAAGATATGAAATGTCAAAAAATAAAGCTGAAAACTCTGTAAGTGTACTGTGAACCAAAAGTATGAACAGTGCCATGGAAATAGATTTCTTCCGGGTTGCTGCGCGGCGAGGGAGGGATGACTCGCAGAACAGTGATGCTGCTTGTATTCGCCGTGCACATCAGCAGCAGCAGCAGCAGCGGCGGCGGCAGTTTCTCTCCTTCAGTCACTGAGAGGCAGGCAGAGGCTGCACGTCCGCTGGCTCAGAGGGACACACTCAGCGCTGCCTGCGGCTCGAGTCCACGCTGCTTTTAAATGGATGTATCTTAGCGCCGCAGAGGACAGTGGACTGCGCTCTTGTGACTGTGCGCAAAACAAGAACCTGGCGATCACTGCGCTTTGGATTTCAGGGAGACCGGTTTGTCTCGACGACAGAGAGGGTACCACACTCCCCCTTTCGTTAGCTCGCTAAGCTAGCTAGCCCGCTAACTTAGCAGTGATACTTTGTACCGCACAGTCGCTCTTCTGCTTTTGGTTAGCCTGCGGTTTCTTGCGCCACGGCAGCAGCGGATCGGGGTGCCGCGCGTCACTCTCGGTAAGCAATCCGCCTTATATGTGTTCTTGTTGTGATAATATATGCAGCTTCAATGTCATACGTGATGGTTTGTTTGTGGTAGATGAAACAGTATCGTTATCTGTAGCAGGCAGCAGGCTGGCGCTATGGCTGAGGGCGCTTGTTGACAGAAGCAGCCAAGCAACGGGGATGTGATGCCACTCACAGTCAAGCTCTCACAACGATCATGTGCACAGCTCCATAACTAAACATAAAGTAAAACTGCATTCGCCCTAAATTAATTGGGAATTGTGTAATAAATACTCTCAGATTTCCCACTTCACTATTATTTCAGTCATAAGTGTGAACACGAGGGAAGTAGTATCACGTTATTATTCCACACTTCTCGTGAAATAATACTTAACCGCACCACAAAAGGCATGTGACTTCCCTTCTGTGAACAATCACCATCATGTACAGATGTCACACCGATGCGTAATCCCCCTGTCACTTGTACTGTTTTCATTTAGCGCCATTGTTGCGGGTCGAGCTGCACAGTGCCGCTTCTCCCCCTGTTAGTGTGCTGATAAAGGTCAGATGATTTCACTTTGCATGTCTCCAATGGCACCTTTTACAACTATGCTCTGTGCCTTCTCAGTTACCCATAGTCTGTACGCTCCTGTGTTGAAGAGGACTTAATTACATTTTGTATAATTCAATCGGGTGCTTTGGTTGAAGCAATTTTGTCTCAGCTTTTGGCTGTGTTTCCTGATGAGTCCAGAAGCATATGAGAGCATGCACTGATGGTAAGCTAGTAACCTTTTTTCTTTGGGTGTCTTTCATCTGCTTGTCTACATTGCTTTGATTGAAATGTTCCAATATATTGCATTAAAGTTGCTTTTAATTGAAAAATGCAAGCCTACTTTCAATTGAAAAACTTGCTTTCTTACTGTAAGCGGGGTCTCCTCTCCACAGATCTGACTTAAATTAAATGTTACAAGCTTGTCCCAGTAATACTAATTTAATGCTATACTGTGGAACATTCCTGGCTAAACTATGTCAACAAATATCCATGAGACAAGCAAGTGGTATTTCCTCCACCAAAAAAGTCACATAGTGTACCTTTAACAACCTTATATGGGAAGGGGAAAAAAAGTCTTCTCTGCTGGCTGTGAAGCCCATAAAGATGTAGAACTGACAGGCAACCACAAAAATTAACTTGTCAACTTAACAGCCAGTGATGGATTATATTCCAAGTGTGTGTGGCATTGAGAAGAAGGACAATATGTACCATGTCTCTCTCATACCTGTAGCTTTGATCGTCTCTTGAGCCATGTGCTGACTCCAGACTACCTGCTTGTTAATATTTGAACACTCACTTGATGTAACAAAGCCGTGGTAGTCATTCGCAGTTATACTTTTCTCTTGATGAGCTCTGTGAAGCCCCGCTTTAACCCAGGGCTCTGCAGAGGCACAACCAACGCTGTAACACTGAAAGGAAATGAATCATGTTCCTCATTTCAAGGCCATGAAGTCGGCATGATGTGTTTCCTGCACGCTGTTTTCAGCCTGTGGTACACTGCGTTTATAGGCTCAGAGAGGGCCCCTTTTCCCTTATGTCATTTCGGTTTAGTTTGGGCTGAACTATTTTCATTTGAGATGTATGTTTTATGTGTATTACTGTATTCACAGTTCACATTTTAAACACATTCAGGAGAAGTCTCAAATGTGAATTGCTATACATTTCAGCCCATGAGGATATTAGATGTGAAAATGTGTAGTCTTTGCAAATTCTGACTATTTGCATTTTTCATTGTGATTGTGGTGTTATAAATCTTGCAGCCCTCGCTACAGTTAATACGGAGACAGTGTGTATATAGAGTAATGCCGGATGAGCTGCTCAACAGGCTCTTGCAAATTTTCTGGGATATACAAATGCAGACTTTGACTAGCAAGGAACCACATGTATTACACTGGTACACTCTACATTTGAGTAATTAGAGCTTTTAAAATACAGGTGATAATCTTAGTTTACATTGTAGTTATGCAGCATATTCTTTGACATCACAATGTTGACCTGTTTCACCTGAGAGCTCTGACTTCTCTGTAATAGGTTAAAAATTGAAAGTGGACCAATGAGACCAATTCTTTAGTTCCAAGCAGTCTCCAGTGTGGTTCGCTTTTGATGTGAACACTAACCAGACTCTACCTGGCCCAACTTGCACTTTTTGATCTAAACAAGCTTCCTTAGTGCACTGAATATCAACAACATAAATGAGTGACAATCAAAGTGAGAGAAATAGGCTATGCCAAGACATATACATCACTGTTACTTCATATAATTAGACAAAAATAAATGATATTTTCTTAGACCAAAATAACAAAAAAAAACATGGAGCTGACAGGCTAATCACTTGCACAGGCACATTAAGTTAAGAGACGTGGCTAATCCTCACAACATGTATTTATTCTCGTATAATGTTCTAGTGTGCATCATGCATTACCTTGACCCGCGTCTTTATTATCAGGTAGCTGTCATAACTCCATGTTTGTCCCGTCATATACTGCAGCTTTCATTTATCCTTGTAGCCTATATGACTGTGCTCACAATATATAAACCCAGAACTGTGCTCAAATGAGTAAATGTCATGGTTGATTTTCAAGTATCGCAAAAAGTGAATGCAACGAAAAATCACCTTTACTTTATATGGAAGTCTCTATTTAATCAGCAATTTTTGCAGCCTTTTCCTAATACTTTTTATCATATTGCTTGACTCAGTATTCAAATTTTGCTCTTCAAAACAGCAACTGCAATATTATCCATTATGAACTATTTCCCACTCTTCTCCTAACATATTATTAGCTTTCTAGGTGACTAGTGTGGGCCGCTTGTTGCTGGGGTCTTTGTCACAGAGGTGGGCTCGGGGTTGGGGTTGGTTTCTTGCTGCAGGCGTGAACAATAGTGCTATTCTGGCCCGTGTCTCCGGAGGGAGGCAGCAGCACTGGGCTGCCTCTCCGTGTGCCAGCCGCTCTTGGGTTAGGATTGGGTTTCCACAGCCACCTGGAGCTCGGAGCACAGGAATGTCATTGTTCCTTCCTCCAGACTGTGTCCCCTGCATCAGGACTCACACATGCACAAAAACAACACTGTGAACTGTAGACCACACTATCGCCTCAAACCCGCTCCTCTGCTTTGTCACACTCCCATTGTCTGGGAAAGGAAAGTGAAACATTAGGCTACTATCAAGAACTAAAATTAGCGGACAAGCTTGAGGGAAAAAATGGAAATTATTAGCAAACTTTTTTTTTTAATAGCTCACCAAGATTTTTACTTTTAATTAATTTTACAAACAGCCTTTCCTTTTTCATCAGATGCAGTTCTAATGAAAAGTGTCAGAGCCAGCCATGTGTATGACACATGGTTATTACCGCATCACGTATTTGGTATGATTACGATTAACCTCACAATTTGTATTAAGCAAACTGCAACCTTAATGTTATTATATCTTCCACAAACTATAGCCTGGACTGACTGACAAAACAGATCTATCAACTAATTACAGCCTCTCTCCAAAGTCAAATAAAATGTCAACATTAGTGGTGTCAGTCTAATGCATCCAAATAGTAAGGCCATTCTCCTCAAACCAGTTATCAACAAACTATTATTATTTACAGTGTACTTGTTGCATGGAGGGAGATATTATAATTGTAGCTTGTAAAGATAAAGAGCAGTTTGATGGCCTGAGCCTGTAAGATCAATATAACCCAACCAAGATTATGCTGTAAAGATCAACACCCAAGATTGTATAGATACTGCTCCTTCAAAATTCTAATATTAAAGTTTTTGGTTGGGGCTTGTTTTTATAGATTTCTCATTGCTCTGCCTGGAATGTTCCACAGTATGATATTAAACAGCTCTACCTTGCATTTACTAAAATATAGGTGTTTTCGTGCTCAAAAATATCTAGAAAACCAAGCATTCTCACTGGAAGCTGGTTTGCCTCTCCACAGATGTGACTTGGTCTGGTTTGGTCTCCATGGAGATAGAACTGTTTAATACCATACAGTGAAACATTCCAGACAAAGCAATCTATAGAGAAAAGTATTTGACGGACCCTCCACCAGAAAAGTTACACAATGCAATTTTATCTGACTTACCTCTTGCTAGTATTTTCCTCAAACCACCTATGTCTCTCATTCTGTCATTTTAGCTGTCCTGTTTATCTTGTCGCTTGTATATTTGACCTTTCTGCTCCAAAATCAAGTGCGTATTCAGAAAACCATGCGTGCAGAGATTGCTCCTTCAGGCTGATCAGATAGCATCGAGCTAATTGGTGGATTCTCGACAAAATGAGGGGGAAGAGGGGAGTGATAGGCATCGGCAATGTTGCGTAGTTTATTCGCCCTCTATATCTCCAGCTTTGAAGTCAAGCAGCAGTGCGTGTGTGTGTGTGTGCATGTGTGTGTGCCCTATGGCTTGCAGCAGGTCACTTTAGGGATAGAGTTACGTAAAAGTGGGTCAGCTAGTGCCACTGGGGAGCCTTGCCAAGTCCCTGCTCTCCCACAGGCAGCTATAGGCCAATACAAATAAAACCAATGTTGGTAGTAGTATGCACTGCATGAATGAATGATTATGCCTGCCTAGACCGGAAAGTATATAGTGAATTTTGAATACAGGTTGTAGTATTGGTGTAGAGTTTTTCCAAGCAATGAAGCGGATGTATCCAAAATATTACGCCTTGGGAATACGCAAAATTAGAAAATCATGTAATACAACCAGTCATTTTTGTGCAGTACTTGAACCTCAACCACAATATTTGAGCACATGTTATGAACGCTGACAGTGAGATAAATATGTTATACTGTATATGCTGTATTTAGAAAAATCTTTGGTCCATTCTACCAATAATCTTCAGATCAGTCCATTTATTTGAGCAACATAAAATACTATTCCAATATCAGAATGAAATATTATTGTACATATTGTGCAGTAGTACAATTATGTACAAAATCTTATTCTTATCCATGCACTTTAAGAACAT